GAGGAGAGGAGAGGAGAGGAGAGGAGAGGAGAGGAGAGGAGAGGAGAGGAGAGGAGAGACTCCACAAAGCAGGTCTCTTCTCTCACCACCACCAACTGGAATCAATCCTTCAGGAAAGAGGGGAGCCACTGCAAAACAATGCCCCTCCACTCCAGTCCAGTAGAAGTAGTCCACAAGGAAACCATGATCAGTGGACTCAAAAGCCACTGAGAGATCAGAGAAGACCAGGTGAGTTGCATTCCCCTGATCCCAGTCTTTCTAAAGATCATCCACAAATGCAACCAATGCGGGGTCCCAGCCTGAGCCTTAACTGCCATGGGTTTAAATAATCTGCTTCCTTAAGGACCTTTGTCATATGGTGCGATCATTTTCTCCATAACCGTCCTCCACAACCAGGAAAGTTGGAGGTTTATAGTTGTCCAAGACAGCTGGATCAAATGAAGGCTTTTTGAGCAGAGGGCACACCACAGCCTTCTTCAGAGGTGACAGAAACAGCCTGTCATTCTCTGTGTCCATTTTTTCATAAGATCCATTCTTGACACTGCCAAAAATGATCTATCTCACATTCAGGACCTTTTATCACCCTTGTATCCTTCACTAATATCTTCATCATAACCAATGAAATCATAGGTTTAAACATAGTGGGGGGGGGTTCCTTTGCCATTTGTATGCATCAATAGATTTGTGCTTAAACCACATATTCAGAACATGCCTTTTTCTAAGCAGGTGGTCATCATACAATCACCATTCTCATTCATTCTTGGGTTTTCAAATGGCCTGATCATTTTTTCTGTGTTTTTCATCTTAATGCCACCTATCCATTCATGTCACTTAATGGAATAATTTTTTTCCTCTTGTAGCAGATCTCTGTAGTGTCTGAGTAGCAGCCTACGCTCACAACATCACAATCGCCCTAGTTTTAAAAGGAGAGTAGGGATCGAGCTGGCTTGAGACTATCTTATGTCTTCTAGGAGTACCTGTGAGATATACTATCACGTTGACACTTTATTATATACGGACCACGTTTGGCAAGAATTTCCAATATCTTTAGTTTAAGTGGGTCAATCAACTCTGTTGTGGTTGTTGAGCTGGCTGCCCTGGCCTCTGTTACAAAGACTTGGAATCTGACAAGTTGTCCCTCAAGACACATACTGTATCTTCTGCTGACTAAACAGGTCACTCCATTCCTCAATAGCACACAGGAGAACTCTGCCCCCTTAACTATAACCTAGCTACCCCATTGAACCGAAAGCTAGAAATAAAAATAACAATTGTATGTGCATGTCTATTTAATTCTCTACTAAGAAGAATTTAGAAACGAGGGAAAATGTCCACCTATTTGTTCCAATTCAGGCATCTGCCTGTGCCAGCCCCCAAACAACATGATACTCCGATTCCACTGTTGATACCATGTGGGGGACCTTAGCTGAGCCTGTAGGATGGAAGGCTGAAGATCACAAACCTTTTCTCCCAGAAGCCCTCTGGGTCTTCATATCCTGCCTCCTGCTTTGAGGTAGTGGCTCAGTAGTTCCCACTGCCAGCTCCAGTCTTCCTGAAGGTGCCTCACATGGCATCCTTTCCCTAACCTTAGTGTGTGACAGAACAGGGTGCTCACACCCTGTGCTATCTTTCTGACAATAATATCAAAAAGCAAAATATCTGTAGCACCACCTCTTGGCCATTGTGGTGTGTAGCTAGAGGATTCAGCTCTTCTTTCCCTCCTTGAAATATAAACAAGAGATAAAATCAACCTTAAAGATATATCCATTTCTGTAGGAATAACAGTTATCTGAAACAGATGTTTTCCTCTGAACTTCCACTTAGATTCCAGGAAATTCTAGCCATTTATCCAATACTGCTTGGGGAGATGATAAAACCCCCTGTTCCAGCCTTGGTCCTATTATTCCTGCTCTTTTTTTTTTTTTTTTAATGGACCAGAACTTTGTATTTTTCCAACCAAGGTAGGGGCTAGAGAATAATTGATTTTGTGTACATGACAGAGGGTGTCTCTGCCTTGTGAAGATGTGGATTGGGAATGCCTGAGTTATCAGATTGGCAAGCTATTAGCGTCATGGCCTGCAGCCTGCACACTCACAACTTCCCCAGATCACATTTATTTAGAATGTTGCATAATTTCCCCCCCAATTTATTCCTGATTCACTAATTATCATTATTCCTTGGAGCATAATGCGCAACTATTATCAATCTATGAATTTCTACTTTCATACGCACCCATAACAACTTGGATGAGACCAATTCATACCTGTGATGTATGTTTTATTCCTTTTCTTCATAATTAAACCTCCCCTTCCACTTCCATGCATATAGTCATCAATTCTATTCCATTAGATCAGACCACTTTCATTCAAATCCTTCCCCTTTGCCTGAATATAATAAATACATAACTTTTTTTCATTTTGTTATACTGATTAATTCATGCTCTTTACTACTTACTCTTCTTGCATTCCAACTCAAAATCTTCCACAAGGCCTGATTGTTACTAGATGGCCCATAAATATTGACCTCATCATGGCTTTGTTTAATTGAGGCTTTGGCATAACATGTTTTAGAAAAAGGAGAAAATATAGGTTAGTTTACCAGTCTTAGTCTTGCCTGTTCCACATTCAACTGTCCCTACTAATGGTAAGCACAGTACCAGTCACTTTTGTCACGTTTGGGGCAGTATTCTACAAGAGCAAGCAAGGCTATTTTCTCCCAAGTGTGCTCATGTTATTCTATGCAGTCATTTGGAGACTGTCTGTGTTCCACCAACTAGAAGGCGCCTGCAAGGAACATAATTTTAAAATTCTTCTTCTCATTTCTATATCCTTTTCCTCCAGGATCCTCTGGAGCTGCAATGCCACTACCTTCTCAACCACCTCCCCTAGAAAGGGGAGGTGGGAGACTGGACAAAAATTGTCCAATATGGTGGGATCCGGTGCACCAGTACCTCTTTAAAAGCAGCTGGAAACACTCCCTCCCTCAAGGATGAATTCACCATCACCTGGACCCATGCACATGTCACCTCCTGAGTGGCCTTAACCAGCCAGGAGGGACCAGGATCTAGTTAACAGGTGGTGGCATTGAGCACCCAGAGGACCCTGTCCACTTCCTTGGGTCCAACAAGATCAAACTCTTCCCAGATAAGAGGGTAAGTCCATGCCCTGGGTATCTCTTTACACATTTCACCACTCTTACCGCAACAAGGTAGGCCTTAATAGCAGTTCTAACCTATGTTCGGTCCTTGTTTTCCTCCAGCAGCACTCTAGACATCTATTAATCCTTTTCAAGACCCTCAACTCCTCCGTAAACCATGGGGAGTGTCAGGCTCGATGGGTTAGGAGAGGTCGCACAGGCACAATCTTGTCCAAGGTCTTGGCCACTTTCCTATTCCAGGTAGTGGCCAAGGCCTCCATTGGACCGTGCAGCAGACCCTTGGGTATAACCCCCAGCTCCCTTTGGAACCCGATTGGGTCCATCAGTGGCCATGGGTGGACCAGTTGAATAGGTCCCGCCTCCCTGCGGAGGGGGTAGCATAGGAGAATCTCAAGGCCACCAGGTAACAAAATAGCATTTCTCCCCTAAGCAAGCAACAAGCTGTGGGAACTTTACTATGGGTACTGTCTGGCATCCTTCATCAGCCATTCTGTCAGTGATGTTGTTAGGCATCCCTAAGAACCTTTTTGCCATTTTAGACTGGTGCAGATGTACCTTCTCCCCTCTGGTCCTTGGGCACCGCCTTCCAGAATCGTTCTGCTTTGGCGAGCAGAAAAGTCTTTTAAAGTAGGCTCTCCTATTTTACTCCATTTCTGAGCCATGGTGGATGACCTAAATAACAGCTAATTAGTGAGGAAGGAGCTCTCAGAAGTGAAGCTGGAAAGGAAGAAGGCTTTTCTCTCTGTCCCTTCCCACACAACCATCCTGCCCCTCTTAGCTATTGTTCAGCCTGCGGTTGTGCATAGGATTAGTGCTATTCTCCTCCTCAAAAGCAACCTGAATAAGAGCTGCCAGGTGTGAGTGGGTTGCCTGAGGTGCTTCTCTCCTGTTGCATCACACAACTCCCTTGCCCACCTATCAGCTGTTAAGTCAGACTATTTTTAAGCAAGGGTTTGCTGGAGCAGCTAGGCAGGGAAACAGGAGAGTTTTGCTGCACAACCCCTCTCCTGAAAGAGAATTTGGAAAATCACTAAACCTGATTTAAAGGTAGCCTAAGAGGTTACAGGCATGGTGGATGGTTGCAAGATGCAGTGGGAGAGGACCCTCCTGTTTATCCATGCAGCCTCCCTCCCCCACATCGCATGTGTCTTAGGCTAAACCAGAACAAGTTTTGATGTTGGTAGCCATCTCTCAAACCTTGTCTCTTCTCCAGCCCATCTTAGATTCAGAAGAATCATTGGCAGATGCTTTCTTTCAGCTGGTGATGTTTGATAGGGGAAGCAAGCCCATACATAGTAAATAAGGATGCCATTGTTTGGCAGCTGCATGTGCCAGGACCAAGACCAGCCATTGATATGCCAGGACAGTATTCTGCCAGCTCAGGATTGGGGGAGAGCTCTTTGTATAAACCCAAGGGATCTGTTTTCACCAGTACCCAGCTCTTATTTTGCCACAAGAGCTACTCTCTTGTCAGCTTTCAGCACAAAGTCTGTGCAATAAATGTTCCCTTATACATGAATATCCCCCCTCTGCTCTCCTTGCAGGGTATCGGCAGTACGAGTCGGGCATCTGCAAGAGGCCCTGAATGAGCGCCATTCTGTGATGAATTCCTTAAAAGCAAAGTAAGGAGAACAGCTTGGCAATGTGCTTGGAGAAACCAGGCTAATGTTATTCATGACAGTTCCAACTCAAGTTTGATTCCCAGTCAGAACAGTCCAGCTGGCACTCCACTTCTTGATTCAAATGAACTGAAAGTTGTGGAACTAGAGGAGGGAACAGAAACAAGTTAGGGAGCACAATTGACTGGGTAGCCCAGTGTTAAAATTCAGTAATTGCACAAAGGAGAAGTAGAATTATTCACCTACAATTCCAAACATAAAATTATATATATACATATACATACACATACATGCATATACATATATAGGGGGAAAGGGGGAGTGTATTCTATCATTGTAGAAATGTGTGACAGAATTTAAGAAGATGGTGGAAAAAAGTCAAATTCTTGCTGTTCTGAATACCGGGGACAGTTTTTCAAATACCGGATTTGACCTGTAGTATGCTTGTTGGAAAATGTGGCCAGCAACACAAGAAGTGATTCAATGCTGTACAGAGCAGACATTAACCTATGGATGTCTCTATTAAGGAAAGCCTCCAAGGAGTGTTATTAATTCTGTATCTGTTTTTGCAAACATGACTCTCCCAATGCAATGCTTGAGGATTAGGGTAGATTTGGCAACAGATACAAACTTAAGGATTGTTTCATTTCTTTACCATCTAGTTACTCTGGAGCATATCTTGCTTTGCGGTGCAGGTGCTCTTGTTGCAGTGCAGCCAGTTCAGAGAATCTCAAAGCAGCCTTGAAAGTGGCTAACTTGAAACTTTCTGCTTTGCAGACTCCAGATGACGGAAGCAGCTTTGGCTCTGTCAGAGCAGAAGGTGTGCAATCTGGGAGAACTGCTGAGTGCAGCAAAGCAGGAGCAAACAAGACTGGTGGAGAACCACACCAAGGAGTTTCAACAACACAAGAAGGTAGACTGGGATGATCTGAGGAGTTGGAGACTGTATATGGTCAAGCAAGAAATCTGGCCCCATGTGCAGCTTAGAAACAGAACTCTTTGCTGAAGTAAGCCCAGTGTTAGTGAGAGAAGGGTCTCAAGCTGCTCTGAGGTTGGATCAAACAAGGAGGGACATTGGAAAAGGGAAGAAGGACTGACTGATGCATCTCTGCTTTTGTAGAATTCTTCTGATTGTGAGGCAAAGCTTCTGCGGGAACTTTCAACAGCCAATGAGAAAAATATCCAGCTCGCGAATAAGGTAAAATAATGTTTGAATAACATTAAAGCAGTGTTTCTTAACCTTGGCAACTTGAAGATGTGTGGACTTCAACTCCCAGAATTCCCCAGCCATTATGGGAGTTAAAGTTGACACATCTTCAAATTGCCAAGGTTGAGAAACACTGCATTAAGTGTTATTTAACTGAGATTCTTCTCATCCTAGCTTTTGGCTCCTGGATGAACCTTGTCTTGTTTATAGCAGCTTTGGGCTTCAGTGAGTTATAGGTTGTGGGTTAAGGGCCATCAGTGTATGCATCTGTTCACCACAAGGTTGCTGAAAGCGAACAGAGCCTGATTCTGTCCTTCTGCAGCTCCCTTCCCACCGCAAAGCATGGTATCCTGCCACTGGCTGATTGCTCGTGCTTCCTGGCATTTGATCTAGACATTTGAAGAGTTTGTCCAGGCAGCCTGCTAATCAGGTTGACATCATTTGTTCCATAGCCATTAACCAGTTGTTAGGTGGACCACCAGGAAGTCCTGTAGACAGAAGGCTGCCATGGATCTCTTGTTGCTTATGAACTATAGGTTGCCCATTTGTGCTTGGCACACTTTCCCAGCAACCTGTTGTACAGAGATGGGGGCTTGTCTCTTTCTACTATGAGTGGATTTCCTTCTAGGTGGATGAGCTGGAAAGAAGATGCAAAACCCAGCAAGAGCAGCTGTTCCAGGTGAAGGAGGAGCTGACCCACACAACTGCAGAAATGAAACTGAGAGCTCTACAGGCTGAAGGTGAGCCTAACTTGCAAGCCTTCAGCTGCTGAGTGAAAGCAGGGCCTTGGAATCCTTCAGAAAGGGAAGAAAGATCAAAGGAGTTGGGGCCTCACTGATTTGTTTGTTCCCAGAGCGTTTGGAGAATGAAAAGAAGCGATTCAAGCAGGTCCTGGATGATACAGAATCCCTTCGTCTGAAGGAGGTGAGGAGGCTATGAGAATTTTAGCATTCTTCCAGGGACAGAGGGAGTGGGCAAAGTAGAGCTGACTCAAACATGCTATCTGACCTGAAAATTAATTCTACCCCATCTTGTTTATAAGATAGGATGCAATTATGGCTTGCCTAACAAGAGTCTTGAATTCTTTGTTCCTGGCCCATAAGAATAAAGGAAGACCTTTGGGACTGTACTGTTGTAAGATTTGGTCAGGATGCAAGGAACATGTTTCTTTTCTGGGGTTTCTCCACTGCAGAGTCTCCATTCCCTCAGCTCCACAGAAGTGAATGGGTGCTTTCACCATTGACTCACATCTACAGCCCAAGGGTCTGAGGCCAGGGAAGGGCAATTATGTTTCCCTTTGATGGATTTCATTTTTAGTTCAGGGTTCAAGAAATCAGGCTATCCTAAATAATTATGTCTTCCTTGTTTAGATTCAGACCATCCTACATGGAGCCCTTATCCTTCAAAATTCAGGGCTCTGTCTTTTCATTATATTGTCAGTCCCATTCTGTGGGTTCATATTACAATTTTATGTTTGGATTTTTCGCTAAGGAGTTGGAAAACGTGCCCCAGCCATCTTGGAATAAAGAATTATGTTTGCTCCAATATTCCTTGTGTGTTTCCCATTTATGGAAGAGAAGGGCTGGTGACAATCAGTTGTGTTTATGAGCTGCTAAAGATCCTCTGAACAATGCTGTTTGACATGCAGGTGGATCACATAACTCAGCATATGGAGACAAGTGAGCACGCCTTGCAGGAACGCATCCAAAGGCTGGAGGCCATCCGCATTGGGCTGGAGGAGGTGAGTGACTTTTTAATGAGAAGGGTAGACAAGCCTTGGATCTTCTCTAGGAATATGCATTCAGATTCAGGCCACTGAAAGTTTCTTGATCTGCTTTTGGGATCAGACATTGCAACACAGTGTTCTGCTTTATCACCAGGAACTGAGCCGTGTGAAAGCTGCTGCACTTCTTGAGCGAGGCCAAGTTGAGGAAGAAGTCATCAGAGCCAAAAACCAAACGCGGCTGGAAGAGGTGAGGTTGGCGGGGCAGTTTAAAAGCTTCCTGCAGCATTGCTCTTGATCTGTAAGATACTTCTCCGCCTTTATTGCATCTGCAGAGTGCTGCCCGGCGGTCCTGTTTGGGATCACCAGGTCCCTCCTTGGTAAGGGGGATGTGGTGGTTCATTTGCAGGGCCGCACGGAGGAATTTGCAGAGCACCTCCAGTATAAAATTGTTCGGATTCATTCCAAGTTGGATTCCAAGCGTGCTGCAGGGTCTGGGGAGATACCAGGGGATCGTTCTTGCCTAGTTAGCTGGGAACGGTTTGAT